GCTAGAAAATCATTTGCTAATTCGTACAATCACTGTAACACTATACGCAAGCAAGTTGAAATTTGAGCTCGCTGGAACTGGAAAGAGCTAGAAATATCAATTCGCACTCGCAGGCTGCGTTCTCTAAATTTGGCTGATTCGTACGTGTGTTGTTTTTTTTTCTATGCAATGAATGCTATATAATTGCGATTCAAAACTTCAACTCCAGACTAACAATTTGGACGTTAATATAAAATACATGTACTCTTGCATGAATAAAGGAAGCCACACGAAGCACAGTATTGTTTATTTCTATTGTTACGAATTCGAGATATAAATTGTTTTCTCGAAAAATTCTTCAAGCATCTCGAAACTCAATACTCGAAACTCGAAGCTCAATAATTCTTGATTCTCGCAAGCATCGAGTACCGACGATCGAGTTTCGAGTCAAGACTGTCAACTTATATTTGACTGGTACTGTATACATATTTTAGTAAAGTAACAATGTTTTGGTTGTCAGGGTGTCTGGAAAACCCGAATAGCGAATAGCGAATATTCACGAATAGTTAATAGCGAATTGTCCCAAATGGTGCGAATAGTCTCGAATAGTGCAAACAGTGGTGAACAGTCGTGAAAAGTGGCGAATAGTGACGAATACAGGTAGTCGTCAATAGTCACCGCTTTAGATCTCATGTCCTGCCTTAATTAATTATCCAAATAAGCAAAAGAATTTCAGTGAATTTATTACCTTTTCTTCTTCGGACTCAGGCTAGGGCTGTCCATCGCCGACATTAAGAAAACAGAAAACACAAGGATAACCTGATAAAGACGTATTTACGCTTTTGTAGCAGTTAAAATGGAAGAGATTACGTTTAGAAACACCTTTTTAGCGGGAAAATCCCATCCTACGTTGCTGCGAGGTTGACTGCGAGATGTTGGGTACCCTATTTGCTACGATTTGCCACTATTTGAGACTGTTGGCCACTATTCGCACTATTCGAGACTATTCGCACTATTCATACTATTCACTATTTGCTATTCAGGACTATTCGCTGTTCGCTATTTGCGACTATTTGCTATTCGCTATTTGCTATTCGGGTTTTCCAGACACCCTGGTTGTCGTGGTAATTGTGATTGATGGCAACCAAAAATACAATAAGGAAGATATTTGTTTACAAACATTGTTTTTGTTATTTAAATGTTCAAAGCCTTAAACAAAAGAATTCTTTGTTTCACCAGCCAATAGTTCTCTAGTTGGCATATTAATAACAATTCATTGGTAACGTCAATGATATCTTTGCTATTGAAATTCAATGTCATTTACAGGCACAGTGAGAAAGGATACTAATTTTTTACATGTTAATTTCTGAGACAAAGTTTTAAAGTTTTTGAAGAGATGCTTTTAACGTGAGTTTCAAGGTTACGGACAATACATTTCTGAAAAAGTAATTTGATACATCTGGGCATAGATCTGGGTTTTAAATTTGCCACCATTTCTAAAATTCAAATTACCAGCTCGTTGGCTCGTTTTCCGAGCAAACTTAACAAATTTGTCCAGCAAATTATAACAGTGTGCTTATTAGAAACATAACCAAACGCTGGTTTATAAAATACACCCGAGCTAAAACTAAATCTGCTTGAATCAATGAGACAACCTACCTTATGCATGAACAATATGGCGGCTTCTCAGTTCCTATACTCTATTCACTTTCTGAGATTACTAGAATTGAGAAAAGGCAATCAGATTACAATATGACTTCCATACGTTAATACAGTCTTCATAAAATGAGATAAGAAAGCTCATGTTAAAACTTACCCAGAAGTTAACAACCATTTTCACATATCCTTTTGAATCGAAGCCACCATGTGCGAAAATTCTCCCAAGTTGGACGATCGATAGGTATTGTGGGATATTTTTTCTTTAGCCTCCCCTCCCCAGCACTTGCACGAGGCGTATTTGATGGATTCACTTTGGAATTCGTGTCAACTTGCGTTCCCTTGCTTTTCCCGTTAGTTCTGCTTTGTGATTCCCTTCGCTATAACCTTCAGGAAGTTCTGTTATGCGTTTCAGTACCGTCCTCCGTTGTTTCGTCTTTATTCCACTGCCCCCCCGGGGGGGGGGTGTGTGGCACTGCCATATATAGGCTATATAGGTATGTGCCGCGTGAAGGGTATGGTTTTCAAGCAGTTTACTCTACATATGATCTAGGATAGGGTATATAAATTATCAGTGCGTTTGGGTCTAGAATAGGGTATCATTTTTCACAAAACTGACTGGTCGGTTGAAGATTTTATCTAGAGAAGGGAAACCAGGAATTGCCACTCAAAAATATTAAAAAATCAAATCGGCAAGTTTAAATTTACGCAAATCAGCCACAACAGGGTCGATAGATGGGGGGATTTGGGGAGTTTACTCTAGTATAGGTTAGCAAAATTCAGCTGAACTAGCTCTGGTATGGACTAAGGGTTCCAGAGTCCCAGCGGCACATCCCCACCCAGAAATTCCCAAAGTATCCTCCCCCCGGGACCCTTGCACAATACTTGTTCGTCCCCGGACCCTCTCAGTGCATTGTCTCCATTCCCTCCCAGGGAGTCTGCCCTTTTTAAAAGGTTGGGGATGCTCATGATCTCACTTAGGGGTGTAAATCAAGGATTTTGGTCTGGTTTTCACTAGCGACGCAAGCACAAGCGCAAGCACAAGCGCAAGCAATAGGGATGACTCAAGTGAAAGCGGAACTCGACTCAGACACAAAAGCATCCGAACATTCCGAACTGTTTAGGCGCGAGGTAATCTGCATCCAGTGTTTTTACTGGCCAAACATAACCACGTGTGGTAATTATCCTTGTGCTTGTGTTATGCCTGAGCGGTATTTCGTATTCACTTGTTGCAGCGCAAACGCAAGCATAAGCGTAAGCACAAGAAAAAGGAAAAATTTTGATCTTTGTGCTTGTGCTTGCGCTTGTGCTTATGCCTGCGTCATGGCCGTTTGTGCTTGCGCTTGTGCTTGCGCCGCTAGTAAAAACCAGGCTTTAGGGTGTTCATAACGAAACACCACTATTCAGCAGCCATCAAAGTATCTTTTAATAAAAGAAATAATAAAAAAACCCTGTCATTTCTGTTTGCTGCGTTTGCTTGTTTGTTGCATTTCTCGCACGTTGCACTATACCCCCGATGTAATCCTCCCGCGTTTTATCGTTTTACCTCAGTTCGGCCGTTTACTTTTCGCCTCACGTTCTCCCCCGTACTTTCCTCCGTGCATTTGGCTATACGTTCCATTTGGTTCCAGTGCGTTATTTCAACGTTCCTTGATCTACCTTAGGCTTTCCCCCTTTCTTTACCTGTTCTGTCCATGCATTTTGTCGTTCCTCCTAACCCTATGACTCTACCTTTAACAAGGACCTCCGGGTTTTAACCTACAATGCAACTAAACTTGGGACGACATCTACCCTTGTCCGATAGCCAGCTTTGGTTAACTTTGGCTTACATGTACATGTTCCAGCGACATTTTTCTTTATGTGACATGCTCGTTTTTCCGAAGAAAAAAAAGACCTGTTGCGGGGACGCAATTTTGTCCTTGCAACATGCTGCATAAAATTCAGCTGGTTTGAATTTGTGTATCACGAAGCAGGGACAAGATAACCTCAATTTTCAATGTCGCTTCTTGTGCGCTGCTCTCGCAAACTGTCCCCGCTACAACATGGAAATGAACCTGCTTCGTGTGCACCAGCTTGCGTACTCTCCCTGCGACATGCACCCTATGCGTACAAACGATGGGGCTTGTCCCCGCCTCACGTCCCCTCACGTCTCCACGTCCCTTAGTGTGTGAAGAACTTTATCACCCTCAGGGGGGGTAACTAGGGGGGAGGGTCCTGGGGTGCCCGTGACCCCTTGTTTTTTAAGCAAACAGCCTACAGCAGGTGGCGAAAACGACATGACAATCTGATGAGTACCCTCACTTTGACACAGTGTGACCCCCCTCCCCCCCTTTGAAAAATCCTGGCTACGCCCCTGGCCCTTTGTAACAGAGAGCAGTCCTGAGCCCCTGGAGCATTTACTTTGTTATTGCGAGATGTCAGCCATTTTCAGGAAAGAGCGATTATCAAGGAAGTCAGTATTTCCTTCCCATTTAGATATGTCATTTTGCTTGGAATCACAAGGTGCCCTCTTAGACAATACCGCAGCTATTAGAACTTCTTACACAAATAGTTTTGATAAAAATCCGTAGATTCGGAACTACCTTTTTCAAATTCCTCGACCTCGTAAAAAAAAACATTATTATAGATTATTTTTCCAGACCACTGTCGACAAGAAATATTATGTTGGAAACAAAAAGGAATCTGAACTATGCAATTTCTTTTTGGAATGCATAATGTCATTTCAGATGTAAACAGTGGATGTCAAGATACAGAGTGGAGCAACGTGCGAAAATAAACCCCTTAAAGTGCAACAAAAACAATGATCCCTTTTCCTGTTGAATATGATTAACTGGAGGTATTCATTTAAATTTAGCTCGTGCAAAGACCTAAAGCTTAACTAATTAGAAAGACATGATAAAACCTTACAAACCAAAAGGTACCATTTTACATGTTTATTGACTTATTTGCGCGTAGCGTGACTGAAGAAGAAATTTACACCACTATGTTTTAACTGGATTCTCCATCATTACACATATGATATTCATCGACATTACAATTCAAAGCACGAAACTTGCATCAGTTTTCTGTAAGCGAAACAAGGTTAAACTGGGTCACGAAACGAGACCTATGGAAATCTGACACTCATCACTTCTTATGTTGGATTCTTTTCATTGCCATCAGAACCAATGGGAAAGCCGCATTTCCCTAACAGGGGGCTGCGCTGAAATGGTATCAGTATCAATGTCATTTAAAGTAGAGCTTTCTCAGCTACACCCAAGTCGTGATTAGACGTTTAACTGGAACAACATGGAGTTAAGGAAGGAAAACCCGGAGAAATATTACACCTTTCGCGAGGAAATTGGAAGGTAATTTATGCTTTTTGCTCTAATAGATCCAACACAACCAAGATCGGAGGCAGAGACTAGCCGAACTAAAAAAAAAACCCTTTGAATGTTTAATTTGTTGATCACGCTGTCAGGATAGTAACGCACGTTCGAGATCTTCACTTAAGGGGCTTTATCTGAGCGTTCCTACAGTTTGCAAAGAACTTTGGTAACAATTTTAGACGCAAATATTTGTCTTTTCTTTCGTCGGCGTGTAGAGTAACTGTTCTACCCTCGATGAGGAGATGCGTGCTGAAAGGTACACAAAGAGTTTCTAGTTGTCTCGAAACATCTTGCAATTTTAACCCAAAACAAATTAAATCAACTTCGCTTAGTTTTCGTCTGTGGTGCAAACAGCACAGAATCAAATATATTTGTGAATTTTTCTGCCCCAAAAGTCTCTGCGTCTTGCTTTTTCGTAGGCTTGTCTGTAATGAACATGAATGCTTTAAAAATTATATTTGATGAGTGTTTTGGCAAATTTTTTAGCAACTATTTTTGCCAAATTATTTTTGTACTCTTTGATATGATTAAGAGCGATTTTGAAACCAGATAAAAAGAGAGAAAGTGTCTTGTTTTGAGTCATACAATTTAAAGGCGCATCATTTATTATTCCAGTTATTTATTTAGCTGTTTATTCTACCGTTCATTTCAGACAAAATCTTCTACTGACCCCTGGCAGAGGTCATCAAAATCAGTCTATGATCTTATTATTCTTAAGATTGTATTCATTTGTTTCCAAAACGAGAAACACTTAATCGCTTTTAATAAACGTGTTACGGAAAAACGATGAAAAACAATTCAAGTGAAGCTCTTTAACTTTCGCGTGCGACACGGACACAGTGTTCCTCACATCTGGCTTTCACTTCGAAAAGTAATTCGCCAATGGCGCGAAATTTAAGTCTTGACAGTTCACTATCCTGAGGCGTAGAAATGGCAAAAGTTTAAAAAATTTAAATTTTCGGAGAAAAAAACTTTCCAGTAATTTCGTGCAACCAGAATTCTTTCACTGATTACTGCGATAACGATATGGGCGGTTTGGGGGTTTGGTGGGGGGGATGGGAGGGGGCTGCATCTCTTTATAGTGGATATTTTATTAAAGAGATGGTACTGAAGGGGGGAGGAGAGGTATGTGCACTCTCAGTGCCCTCTTTCTGGACTTTCCGGATCCGTCATTGAACGAAGTCTTGGACAAAATCATCACGGAACTTTAAAGGAATATTTCGAATTCTCTCATTTCTCGATGGGACACTTTCAAGTGGTACTTGAGAGCATATTTTTAGCGTAGCCTGATTTTTAAGCACGTCTCATTTCATTGAATTTAATTAATCAATTAAGTACCAGGTGTGTGATGTTGTTACATTTACGTCAAAGACATCAACTGTTCTTTAAGACCCTGC